CTATATTTTGCAGTCTATTTCAAAAGTTGATGTTGTAAAGCATACCTTTGTGAAACAGTATTTGAGACAACATGTCACTGAGATGTTTGCAAAAGCTTGTGCAAAAACTAATGACCAGGCCAAACCTTTAAATAAACTACATCTTTATTTCACCAGTGGCACATAGTCTCTCTATACCTGACAAACAGCAACACTATGTTTTTGTGTGCTTACTGTTTTTTAGGAATGTCTGGAGCTGAACGAAAAGAATACGATGAAAATCCCCTACGTTAAAAACTGCTTTTATGAGTTCCGAATCACAGCCAGGACTGAGAAACGTTGTGTCCTAATGGTCAGCAACGGCAGTGAAGTTGTAACTTATGGTAACTATCCAACCAATTTTATTTTTTCAGAGTGCATTTATCAACATTACATGAAATGTTTATATTTTATATGAACTAGGTTGTACAAACTATTTTTGAAAAAAGTGAAATGTTGGGTTGCTTTAAGTAGACTTAACTATGAGGTTGGTATTGTTGTTTCTTTTATCTTTATCTTTACAAAATAAATATTTATTTCCTTAAGTCTATTTCTTAAGATTGTATCATTATCTATTATTATTATTATATAGCTTGCCACATGGAGCTTGAAATAGTCTTGAAGGCTGAAGAAAATGTATCTATTGTTGATCGCAGGTACTCATGTGCCCCCTGACTGGACACTGACTGTGGTGGCCATTGTCATCCCTATCATTCTGTCCGCCTGCATCATTCTGTCCTGCTACTGCTTCAGGAGGTATGTTTTGGAAATCAGAATCAGAATCAAGAATTTTGTTTATTGCCAAGTAGGTTTTTACACGGAATGTGACCTGGTGCAGTTGGTGCATAAATACACATATACAAATATACAATTGAACAGCTGAAACAGCTGGCTGTGTAGGCCTAAGTCAAAGAGTTCCACCCACCGGCCAAAAAAGTGTCTCTAGACCAGGGGGTCTCAAACTCCGTACTCAAATTGGCTTGTGGCCACTTCAACGTTCAAGTTCTACTACTGGAAAAATATGTCCATTACTAACGTATGCCAACAGCAGTTTCTATATGAAGTTTCTTTGACAAACAGTATTTGAAATATGCAGCAGTGACAACATGTCAGAGATTTTTGCAGAAGCTTTCTCAACAACTAACAACCTAATGAT